AAGCCGCGAGGAAAGGGGTCGGGAAACAACGGAAACGAGGGAGCTGTAATGAGATCCGAAGAGTCCCTGGAGCTCTGCATCCCGGGGGAGCGTGTGCCTCGCGTCTTTTCTTATAACCCCCCCCCCTTCGTGCTCCCCTCGCCAGACGGACCCTCCCCTCCCGCCCCTTCGCCCTCCGTGACCCCCCCCCAACCTGGTCCCTCGGTCCCCAAGCCCCCACCCCCGCCTGCCCCTCCATCCCCCTACTTGCCTTGAAGTCCGTGACCTCCTTTCCCGTGGCGGGGTCCGTCTTGGTCCCCACCACCTCGCCGAACGGCACCACCACCTCCCCAAGCAGCGTGTCGCTCCAGCCCACATCCACCTCGTACACGGACAGCCGCAGGACGTCGTTCTCGAGAGAGTCAACCTGCAGCCGGCCGGACAGGGCCGGGCAGGGGAGGAGCCGTTTGCAAGGAAGTCAGAAATGAACTGCTGCCGGCGTCCAAGTTCCTCCAGGGGAGGGGGGGAAGAGGGGGATGAAGTAAAAACGCCACAGAAATGGCATGGGGATGAGGAAGGGCATCGGGAGCTCCGTAAAGAGGTGTGGATGCCATTTTCCTTCAACTCAGGTCAGCTTACGGTACCTTTTGCTCTTCGCCGCCTTTACACTGAGACTTTTAGAATACTACAAACGAGTTTTCCTGCTTTCGCATCGCATTTTTATTTTAATCTTGGCGGCTAGGTGGGTAGCTCCCCGCAATCTTCATGACTACATCACCGCGGAGATTCCTCCTTCCCAGGTCGCGACTGGTTAGTTACGTTACACTTACTTCTGGCTTCGTATCCTAGTCTATCCTTGGCATCAGCTTCACTCGTTCACGTGGTCCGGGCCCCCTATCCCCTCCCCCAACACTTTCCCCCTATCCCCTCCCCACCAACCCCCCTCCCCAGCCTCACAATGAGCGCAAACTCTTCGTTGTATTCGGGGCTCTTGTTGTTGTCCACAGTCCTGGTCTGCTGGTACCGGCCCTTGCGGACCTCCAGCTTGCAGTACATGTCGTCACCGCCCTTGATGTTCTCCAACTTTTTAACTGTCACCTATATGTGCATGTGTGTGTGTGTGTGGGGGGGGGGGGGCAACATACCCGGGGGGGGGTAAAGCGGGGAAATCGTGTTGGCAGTCATCAAGCGCCGGACCAGGGGGGCCGGGCATTACATACCAACATACCTACATAGCTACATACTCCTAGATAGAAACACACATACATTCGCCAGGATGACTTTTTGGCCTATATATTCCTCGAGCACCCCCCCCTTCGCATATACATACATACATGACATTACATACATACACATACACTCTCCCTGCGCGGCCCCTCCCCCACCTTGACGGCGCCCACGGGGGGATCGGGCAGTCCGAACTTGGGCATGATGGGGAAGGAGAGGGCGTTGGGCAGCACCACGCCCAGCCCCGGAACCAGCGGCTTGTTCAGCAGGGGCAGGGTGACGGGCTCCAAAACCACCTGACACGGATCAGGAGGGAAACCATGTGCGGGAAAATCAGAAGTGAACTGCCGACGTGGGGCGGAAAGGCACTCGGGGGCCACCGCCGGGTGCGGGGGACCACCAGCCAGCTGACGAGGTGAACAACGACGAGGGCCCTTACAACGGGCCATTGTGTGATACATCGTTTGGTGGTGTGTGTGTGGGGGGGGAAAGAGGGCGCCGGGGGATGATGGAGGAGGGCGGCAACAGCCCCAACTTACGGGATTTGAACACATGACGAGTGGGGGGGCTTGCTGCTGCTGCTGTGTTGTGTGTATATGTATGTATGTATGCATGTACGGGTCCCAGACTACCCCTCCAAGAGGCCCTCTTGCACAGTCCAGTAAGGCCCGTTGTGTGGTGTGGTGTGGTGTGTTGGGAGGTTGGCGCTCGCGTTGCTCAGACGCGCACGAGCCAGTCGAGATCCACTGTCACAACTACAAAACCGAGAAGAGGGGAACTGACAGCCCCTCAGGGCACCGGAAGTTTAAAAACCACGGAAAGGCCCTCCCCTCCCCTCCCTGTTCTCCCTTACGGTCTCAGCTCCCCCGCTGCACTGCGCCCTCCGTAACCCCCTCCACCCCTCCTCTTAAACCCTACCCACCCCCCTCTTAAGACACTCCCTTACTTTAAGGGCCGCATGTACGATTTGAGGTATGAACGGCAGCGCCATGATGTCGACTCCCTTGATCAGCTGCAAGGAGAAGTCCACCACGGGCACTCGCAGCAACGACACACTCACGCCGCCAAGGCACGGAAACTTCTCCACCAGCGGCCGGATGAGCACCCGGACGTCGGCCTAGGAGGGAGGGAGGGAGGGAGGCAGGGAGGGAGGAGTGGGTGCGAGGAGTGGGTGTGGTAAGCGGGGCCCCCATGGGGGGGGGAGGGGAAGGGGGGGTGAACAAACGTGTGAGGAGCAGCATACGTCACGTGTATCTCTGTGCGCATCTCTGTGGAAATGTCAAATGCAATAAGTATAAAGAAAACACAGCAGCATGTGCCGCAAAGCACTAGTTGGTCTGAGCGCAACGCATTGGGAATTGTGGGGTGAGGGCCGGCCCGGGTAAAAGGTGGTTGTGTGAAGTGTTGAGACTGTAAAACATGGAGCCGCCGGGTTGAGGGAAATCGGAGCATCAGGTGAGTTACGGGGGAACGGGTCTCGGGTGGAGACGGGGCCCGGGGGTCGGGGGGTGCCACTGCTCCCACCTCCGGGCGGGACCTCCCCCCGATGCCAGCGCCACCCACAAAATCATATTGGCTAACCCCTCCTCTTTCGCCTTTTCCCCCAAGACACCCACCCACCCACCCACCCACCCCACCCCAAGCTCGCACACCTTGAAGCTGATGTTGGACAGCTGCAGAGGCACAATGAGCCGCAGCCGCCCGAACCGCAGGATCACGTGCACATCGAACTGCGGCGGGGGAGAGGAAGGGGGGGAGATCCAGGGGAGAGGGGAGAAAGGAGAAACACAGGTGGGCCGGGGAGAAGACGGTGTCGGATCCGGATTTGAGTACTGGAGAGGCTGCAAAATGGTGGGGCGAAAACGAATCATCACCTCCATTGAAGGGCAGTACGATCCCCCCTCGGACGGGTGTGTATAGCCCCCAACTTCCCCCCTCTCGCCCCCTCTCTGCCCGCGAGGTCCCACCTGTTTATGGCCAAACATCACGAGCGCATATGTGCCTATACACCCTTAAAGCTGGTGAACGGGCCTGGAGCTCCACAGAACGGTTGCGACAACAGGCTTGACAGCCACCCACCCACAAGTATGTAGCTCTAATAGTTGCCCTCGCGTGTTCCCGCACCTACCCGCTCCCCCCCCCACCCGCTCCCCCCCCCACCCGTACATCACATAGCTCTTAGCTCCACCAGCAGCACTTGGCGGCTTTGGGGCATCTTTAGAGAACGCCAGTCGGCACCTGAGGTGGTGATTCCCCCTGGGGGACTTTGCCGCGCGGGGCACCCCCATTTCCCCTCCCCCCCACCCACCCACTCTCGCCCCCCTCAATTCCCCCCTCCTCCCACCTTGGCCTCACTCCCCCATATGAGCGACGTCTCCAGCAGCACCTCGTCGTCCGCAGTGGGCACCACCCTCATCCCGCCCAGTCGGGGGGCCACCTGGCCCACGGTGAAGACCTTGTCCGCCAAGAAGGGGTTCTTCTTGGTGTCCACCTTGCCGTGCCGCAGACTGTTCGGACCCAAGAAGATGTCCTCAACGAACGCATACTGGGGTGGGGGGGGGAGGTGTTGGGGTGGGGGGCGATGTTGTAAAGGAGGCGGTGGAGGGGATGTGGGTGGCGGGTAGCTTGGGCGAATGGGGCGGTATGTAGAGGTTAGAGCGTCTGGCCCCCCCTTCCGATGTCAACATCTCCGTGTACCAACATCTTCATTAGCAGCTAGCTATTCACTGGACCACTTCGTTACTGGACGGCTTGTCTTGGGAGGAAACTATGAAACAGATAGCTAAAACCTTAGAGGACGACTTGTAATATTCTCCTGCATGTAGTGACTAAAGCCTGTATGTATGTATGTATGTATGTATGTATGTATGTATGTATGTATGTATGTATGTATGTATGTATGTATGTATGTATGTATGTATGTATGTATGTATGTATGTATGTGTGTATTTCTCGCGGTTCAACTCAGTTCAACACATACACAGACGAACGGCCCCTTCCAATGATGGACTAATTCGGCGGTGGTTCCCGTTGGGGTTTTTACGGTTAGGTGTTCCTGGCCAGTGTCAGGCCCGGATCGATGTGTAACAAAGACGCACACACACACACAAACCTTGCAAGTTCAGACCGTCCTTGCTAATTTCATCCTCGCGCCTCAGTTCATTAAAACATGCATCCACATACATACATACACACATACATACACACATACATACATACATACACACATACATATAGGCAGGTGGCTGGCAGAAGTTAAGGCCTGACTTCTGCTCCCCGAGGTTCCGGGTTCAAATCCACCTGCCGACCCCTCGGTGTGTGAGGGGTGATAAATTGGGAGGTGGGCCCCCATCTTGTGGACGATGTAGGACGTGATTATAGCGATTTGCGAGCTGACAAGGAACTGAGTTGTCGCGCCCTTGATCCGCTAGATTTGTTTTGATGCTGGTGGTGAGTTGCTGAACCCAACAAATACATTCTGTAGTCGGATGGGGTGAATGGATTAGGGTGCCCCTCTCGCAGGGGAGAGCAGGGAACTGCCTCGGGAAAGGGGGCCGCTGGTGAAGCTATACCACCCTGTAACAACATCATACATACACACATACATATATACGTGGCCTACCTTGTCAAACACTTGTGCCTTGAGTTGCGGGTAAAGGACCGCGTTGTACATGTCCCCCTGGACTACGAGATCCATGATGGCCTTGGTCAGGGTGGGCCATACGGTGGCCAGTAGGCGGTTAATCATGGACACCTGAAGGTTAGCAGTTGGTAGTTGCACATTTCCACGGGGAGGGGGCGATGCGGGATGAAATACGGGTGTGAGAACAAAACGGAGAGCGAGGTGCGAGTCAGGGCGGGCTGGGGCAGGTGGATAACAGCTTATTTGGCCGTCTCAAACCGACGAGAAGCGAGAGGTGGAAACCGGCAGCAATCGTGGATCTTACCCGTTCATAGTCGGGGTCTGTGACCCAGGGCTCGAGCAGCGGCAGAGCGTCGCGATACGTGGTCCTGACGAGCAGGCCCGGGTCCGGTGCCGGGATTTTGTGGTCATGGTCAACCTCCTCGCGTAGGATGCGGTAGCTTGTTGGCTTGATGAAAGTTGAGTATAAGTAAGGTCCGAGCTGCGAGGTGGAAACAGAGGAGGCTTTGCAACGCTGCCAGGCTGTCGAAAGCCGCACAAAAACGACACCATGTAGCCCGGACTTCCAGCAGGACAATGTGAAATATGCCCCGAGCCAATTAGGAGAGATAAGTAGCAATTCATGTAGTTTGGGGAAACAGCCCAGCAGCCACGCAAACGTACCGACAGGCCCGCCAGGGTGCCGATACCCGTCGCGATAGACGCGCCGATAAATGGAAAGACCATGGCGCTATTATTATAAAATAGCAATCCTAGTAGCCCAGATTTGAGTCCAGGAAGATGAGACAAGGGCCAGTTACTGCCTCTGTCTACTTGCGAGCAGAAAACAGGACGTGAGGAGCTGCCCTATGTTTTGGACAGGCAGGCTGCACGTCTCTGCGTTAACTTCGCGTTGCAGTTAGATCAAGTATTCATCAGAAACGGCAGTTTGTCGTCGGCATCCAGCATCGACGTACGGAAACCACGGCCAGAAGGGAAAGGACTGACGCTCAGAGGCTTTGCATTCAGATTATGAAACACAAACTCATGACAATCACTGCGCTTTCCATTTACCCGTCCAGGTGCACAGCAGATAGATGGAAGCAGCATGCGCTGTGGCACCGCTCATTTTGTGGAACCGTTGGAATTTATTTTTTTCTACTAACTTGTCTCATTCTGAGGGGGACACTTGCATTAACATCCAAGCCGTACCCTCGGCTGTCATCGGACCAGCGCCCACGAAAGGAAAACCTCGCTGGTAATCCCAGACTTGTATGTATGATTTTGCGTCAATTACAAAGCCCTTTTTACACACTGCCTGCGGCCTGATCTTCCTAATCCTAGCCCTAACTGTCGCCGTTGGACACGTTTTGAAACCAAGGCCTGTTGGACACAGGAGAAAAAGCCAGAATTGGCATTTCCTTGGAGAGAAAGGCATTTGTGATTTATAAAATCGATCTCTGATTTTACAGCATTGCATATCACTCGAGGAGGTTTTGAAATGGCTAATAACTTCTCCTTGTGACAGCCACATCGACGGCCGCCCGCCGCCCGCCCCCTCCACAAATACAAACTCAAACATTCAGACCGGTCCAACTCTCTCCTTATCCCCCAAACCAGATGTCCACGCCCCCACGGCGCATCACCCTGACCGCCCTGGGCTGTTGAGCTATGCCTTCCTCCTCCGCACATCGCAGCTCCCGAAGCCATGGTCCTGGGCTTCCCAATGGGCCCTACGTGCGTTGTACCCACTATCCATCCCACTTCACCCCCTATCAACCGACTTCCCCGCTGGTGCACCTACCGCACCTTTACCGCCGCACCCTCGTGAGGGGAAATACAAAGGCAGCGCCGGTGGTGGCGGGAAGCCCGATGGGACCGCCCCAGGGCCCGGGGCCCCAGGTCCTGCGGCTGGGACCCCGGCCGAAGGCGACGGCAGCAGAAGCGGTCCGTTTCAAGAGGTGTACGGCGGGTAGGATGTGGGTAGCGGCGCGGCGGGTCCGTTGGCGGGTGCTTGCTACGACGCCTTCACGGAGGATGCCGTCGTCGAGGATGGACCTGGCAGGGGGATGATGACTCGGGCCAGCACCAGCCCCGGAGCCGCCAGCCGCAGCCGCAGCGCCGGCGGCGCCATACGAGCCGGTGATGTTGGTGGCCATGTATCCGCTTCCGCAACCTCCTCCTCGGAGGCCGCGGCCTCCTCAACGTTGGAGCAAGGGGCGCGGTCAGGGGAAGGGCAGGGGGCGAGGCAGCCCTCCCCTTCCTCCCCCTCCCCTTCCCCCTCCTCCCGCCCGCCAGTGTTCTACATCCCACCACTCACTGGCACGGAGCTACAAGCCAAACTGGACAACAAGTACGTACTTGCCGTATTATGTCGTGCCGTACTATACTCGTACTATGTTGTGTTGTGTCGTACCAGGTACGGCGTCGCACCTGGCGACGCGGATCGATAGTACTTCTGTAGGAGTAAGGGTTGCAGGGTTTGTCGCATCCTTGGTGCTTAGGTCTCTTGTCGAAGCTGTTACGGGACATGCAGAGGACCCTCTCCACATTCCGGTGATGACGGCGAGCCGCGCCGCGCCAGGGCCACCTCCCTGCTGCGCCGTCCTGCCATCCACCCAACCAACCCGGCCCGAAATACACATGCACACACCCACAGCTCCGCCGCGAAACCCTCCCCCCTCCCCATCATCCCGAGGTCGCCGCCAACAAGAGCGCCTACTGGTCAGCTCTGGTCTTTCCTTGGCAGCAGCTTCACTTGTTCGTGGTTTTCCTTCCCCCTCTCCCCCCCTGAGGACTGTAGGCCCTCCGCTCCTAGGTGGTGGTGTCCTCGTCGTACATCTTCCTGGTTCCGGTTGTGGGTCAACCTGGAGTCCGTACTGCCCTGGGCGTTCCCTTGCTTCGCCGACAACATGAGGTGGGGGAGAGGGGGGCGCCGCGGGGGGGGGGGGGTAGGTGGGTGGGAAAGGGTTCAGGGACCTATGTATGTATGTAAGTACGCCGATGCCCCCGGAGGTTCTGGGATCGAAACCTGTCAAGGTCGAAATCCTTCCGATGGTGGAAGGTAAGAGTGCCCGTAGTCGGTGGACGGTGGTGACCTGAGGTAAAGTTGACTTGCGAGCTGACCAGGAATGGAGTTGAGCCGCCGTTGACCCGGTGGTGGGTGCGGAACCTGAGCGATCCACTGAGAAGTTGGCTAGGGTGACTGGATGAGGGTGCCCCGAAATACCGGGGAAGGCAGGGTTTCAACGGGTAGCTGCCACGGGTGAAGATATGCCCCCCTGTCCCACACACCATGCACACACGCCGCAGACTTGTCCCCGGGTACCCGGGCGATTCGGGGGCCGTGTCACCGCCGGGTGTGGAGGTGCGGCTGGGTCCCACCTTGGAGTCCCCTCGCGGTGACCCGCGGGTCGCTGAGGGACCCTGGAGTTCCGTTGTACGGGAGCTACGGCAGAGGGGCTGGACGGACGAGCTACTGTACACACACGCGTACGATTGGAGGTGGGAAACAGCTGGCGGGCGCAGTCCGAGAGCCGGTTATTACCGGGAAAGAGGTTTATGGCGGGGTGCCGGCCGTGAAGCCGCCTTTGCTCCTCGTATCTTATACTCCCCTCCCCTCCCCTCGAGCTTCACTCGCTCGGGGTTCGTCTTTTCCCCTTTCTCCTCAGGCTGAGCCCCCCCGAGTGGTCTCGGGCGGGTGGCAGCTTCCAGCAGCTGCACCGGGACATCACCACCGCGGTGGCGGCCAGCGGGGGCCGGCGGGTGGTGCTGTTGGGCCTCAGTCTGGGGGCCAGCTACGCGGTCAGCTTCCTCACCTCCCCCCTCGTGGACCCGACGTGGCGGGAGAAGCACATCGGGCGGCTGGTCACCATGTCGGGTGAGGAGGGGCTGCGGGTGCCTGCCGCTGCGGGGGCGCTCTCCAACGCGGAAGGAGGAGCTGCCCATTGCGCTCTTGGCTTCCTTAGCCGCAGTAGCAGGCCCAGCCCCCCCGCGCGCGCGGGCGTGTGTGTATGTGTGTGTGTGTGTGTCTCTCCAGTTTGGGTGAAACACCTCCTACCCGCCCCTTCCCCTACCCCTGGCCCAGCACCAGCAGCAGCATCACACGAATGAACCCGCTATGGCTCCCTCTTTCCACTCCTCCACCTCTCCCTCTCTCTATCTCCCCCTCCCCTTCTCTCACCCCCTCCCTCTCCCAACCCCTCCCTCTCCCAACCCCTCCCTCCCTCTCTTCAACCACATACACACAGGTTCGGGCTCTTCGCTCCATTCCGGTATCGTGTCTCGCCATGGCCCACCCGGCCCCCTCACCCCTTCCCCCCCACCAACCGCCAACTTCCCCCGACCCCCCGACCCCCTCCAGGTGTCTGGACCGGCACTCCTCGCGCCACCTGGGACGTGCTATCGGGCCGTCTGGAGGGGCTGGAGGCGGTGTTGGACCGGGGGGCCGCCCTGCAGCTGCTGAGGGGGCTGCCCGCGCTGACCTGGGCCTTCCCCTCACCGCCTCCGGGTGTGGGGCCGGGGGAGGCGGGTGGACCAGCCGTCATCACCAACACGGCACGAGGGGGGAGGAGCTACGGGCCCGCACAGCTAGGCCAGGCGCTGGGGGACGCGGGGGCTGAGGAGGTGAGGTGCGGGTGTGAGGTGCGGGGACGGGAATGAAGGCAGTGAAGGTTGGGAAGGGGCTCCGAAGGCGACAGGAAGAAGGGACAGGACGACAAGGGATGAAGGGGGTGGAGGGGCACGTCGGGAAGGCGCGGTGAAACATCGCGTGAAAAAACTGAGGGAGACGGGGTGAGGCCAGATGGCGGGCCGGGAGGAGAAGGAGGGGGTGGGAGAGGGGGTGGGGGAGGGGCTGCAGCGGGGAACAGAATGGCGCGGCCGGCGGCATGAGGGCAGGTGGTAAGAGGGGGGAGGGGGGTTTTGCGGAGATCGCGGTTCAGGTGGCAAGTCAACCAAAGGGGAACCCCTTCAGTGTTCCCCGAATGTTTGTAAACTACATAACAACAAAGGAGAAGCAGGGAGGCAGCTAGAGATTACACACAGCGACAACATGCCGACACCATGTTGCGACCGGAGGAGCGCGAGCGCTATCCCACAACCCTTCGTGTGTTAGCGCACCGCCTGGGGGATCCCGATCTTGTCGTACATAGGGGATGTGGCAGCCTTGGTGGGACCCCTCTTTTGCCGCGGGGGGGGATGACTTCCCGCCTCCGTCGCGGCCCTTCATCTCACGCCGCCACCTAAACAACTTCCTTTTTTTAAACCTTTCAATTTTTTACACCTAACCTGCAACCTACTCCCCCCTTAAACCCTACATCGATACGGACATCTGCCCCTCCCATCGATACGGACATCTGCCCCTCCCGCCTTCCCCTTTCCTGGGCCACCGCCAATGCCAGACAGCAGCCTTCTGGGAGGCCGCGCTGCCGTACACCCTCACCTCGCCCCCCAACGTCCCCACGCACTGCTTCTATAGCTATGGTCTGCGATGTGCAGTACATGTAACGTACAACACTGCCGACTTCAGCGACACGCAACCTGCCGTACGGTACGACGATGGCGACGTGACGGTACCGCACGCCAGCCTTGCAGCATGCCGCGGCTGGGCAGTACGGCAGATGGCACCCGTACGCTCGTACAGCTACTTTGGGGTTGTCCATGGTATGCTAACGTCGGTGCCGGAAGCACTGCACGACATCGTGGAGGCAATAGCGAGTGAGGCGGCGTAGTAATTTAACAAACAGAATGTACGACTGTACGGCATATGGGTAGAATGAAGGTGGTCATAGGCAGTTGGTGGTCGGTAGGACAGTGGAGGAAAAGCGAGGCCTTGAGAATGTGGATATGTAATAGCATCTTGAGTTGCAGTACAAGCACATATACTGCCGTACACCTGGTCCAATATATAGATGCCGGTGCTAATTATATTACTATCCACCCTGAAACTACAGCTAATCTGGATAGAGCAAATGATTTAATTAAATCCAAGTTCAAAAGTCAGTAGAGGAGAGCGACGGATTCCCGTGTTGTTGTTGTTGTTAGTGGTGGTGCCGATGGTGGTGGACTGGCTGCAACTCTCTGCAGCTAACACTAGCAATATGTACGGGTATGTAGGGCCGGATATGGCACATGCCGAGGCGAGTTGTAGTGGAGATGGGCAGTGGAGATGTAGCTGGATGCACAAACAGACTGTGGGTCGTATCCTGCATGTGGAGTGCACCTCCACTGCGTTGCGCTGTTCAGGCTGTTCAGATGGGGGTCGACCGGAGCAGTACTGGCCGTTAGGGGCAATGTGCTGCAGTCGGGGCCCTCTATGCAGTGCAATACTCCCTGCTGCTGCAGATCGAAGTCGTGTTATAGCTGCGTGCAGCAGACAGAGGCAGAAGCCGAGGACGGAAACCTGCCGAACGCGAACACAGGCCAGCGCAGTCACAAACGTTCGGAACCTTGCAAACAAGCTCTGCTGCTTACACGGCCAAGGGAAATAACGGCTTGCCACCACGCGCAGCTCTCGCGCGTCCTCGCGCCAAACGACAAAAAGGCGTTGTTGAGGCCGTCAGTGCCCCCAAGCCCACATCAATCATAAAAATCCGGAACACTCCACCCCAGAGAAACCTGATCACCGGGTGCTTCGCGCCGAATAACAAAAGCCCTAACCGCACAGCAAAGCACCTCCCCAAGGTCGCGACCGTACTCGACTCAGTTACACTACCACACGAGGTGTCGTTTTGTCCGGCGGCGATCTCGAAGAACGAGCCTCTCCTCTCTCAGTCCTCTGCCTGCCGAGCGCTCGCTCGCTCGCCTGCTCGCTCACCCCTTCATCCCCGAGCTCTTGGCGCCTCTTCCTGCGGTCTGCACCGCGCCCCTGGTCAACAAGCTGTCCCCTTCCAGCGGGTCCTCGCTGAGCCCCCGCCGCGGCAGGCAACAGCACAGGTAGTCCCGCCATCCAGCCTTGTGTATTTGCCGACCTGCCTCGATTTGCAAACCCCCCGACGAAACCAAACCGCCGGCTCCCGAGTCACTGCCGTTGGGCCGAGCGCCGTACACTTGCAACCGAGGGCGACCCTCGCCCTGCAGCAGTACAGTACAAAGCCAAAGGGAGTTCTGGGTGGGTCGATGTTCCTTTTGATGGCCATCCTGTTTTGATGGTCCATCACATCGGGGGTAGAGGTGTGTGTGTGTGTGACGTGCGGGGGCGCAGGAGACGAGACTCTTCCCGGGGGATAGAAGCCGCGGCCGCCGCGGCCGCCGCCGCCGGGGGAGCAAAATATTAAACGCAACTCAAGCAGATACATAATCGCCTCGTGAGTAGGTATCATTCGCACAATCTCCCCGCCCCGCGGGGAAGGAGAAAAGGAAACTGCCCCCAAACCCCCACTCTACCATCGCCAGCATCCGCATCCCCGCAAAAACCATCCGCGAAGGTAGTCATTGAAAAGCCCAACCCCCAGGCTCAATGCCTACGGTGGTTCCTGAAACCCCGTAACCCCTTTCCCCCCACCTCCACGACCAAGCCACCAACCCACGTACACAACACTCACACACACACGCCGCATTCCGCCACTCCTTCCACAAAACTCCTCCTCGGCAGTCCGGGTAGTCCGGGCAGCAAGTCCGGTGTAGCGTGTCTTCCCGGGGAAGTGCAGGGGCTTCCCTGCCCCCTAGGGACCCACACTACCCATCCATCCACCCATACATAGAACCCCAACCCCCCGGACCACATCCGCCAGAAGCAAGCCCCGGACCTTAGATGCTCGTGAGCCGGCCTTGCCGCGCCGACGACCTCCCTCGCCTTCGCCGCCCCAGCGGTTGTCGCCGTCCTGCTCTCCGCCCTCTTCACCTCCTCCTCCTCCACCTCGGTCGCCGTACTCCTGTGCGCCCTCCTCGCCGCCTTGACCGGCGTACACGGATTCCGTATCCTGTCGGCAGAAGGCAGCGGCTATCGCGAAACGTCAGGCGGTGTGGCTGACAGGTAACCACGAGTGTGTGTGGGGGGAAATCTCTGTGTGACCTGACGTGACGTGACCTGACGTGGCGTAAATTTGTTCATAGTGCAAGGTGTGCAGCCGAGCCTCAGGCAGGAAAGGAAGCTACAAACCGCCCCCCCAGGACGTCCTGAAGTTGAAGAGCCGAATGGGGGTGCGAGCTGGCAAAGTGGTGTTTCAGCACACACACGCCATGAAACCTAGGTGTTATGCGCGAGGAGGAGGAAGAGGAAGAGGAGGAGGAAGAGGGGGAGGATCGGTACATACCCTCTGCCTTGCCACAGCACCAAATGAACCATAGAATCCGCACCGACATGGTAATATCCCCAACATGACAAACAACAATAACATGAACACCTTCCACATTTTTTCACCTCCGGGATGCCGTCCTCTCCGGGTGTTCGATTGCGGCGCCTCCGCCTGTGCTTCTTGCTTTTCCGCACTGGAATCGGATCGCCGTACTCGTCGTACTCCTCTACGCCGCCGCCGCCGCCGCTCGTGCTGGCGGCGCCGCCGCCGCCGCCACGGCGGCTGCGATGGGCGTGCGGCAGCGGCTCACCCGTCTCCGGGTCAAAGCCGGAAAGATCCTGTGAGTACGGCAACGTTGGGGGAGGCCGTCGCACAGCCCGGGGGGGGGGAGAATGGGCGCCATGGCGTCGTGCGTGCACCTGGTCACAATGGGCCCATCAAGCCATCATCCTGTCGCCTTGAATCAAATTCGTAATCCGCAAGTTCTCCCCTTTTCCATATTATAAAAAAGACGACAGAAGCCGACCAGGACTACCGAGGCGTGCAGGCTCCCACGCACCTGCTCGCCCTCTTGCTGCTCCTCGTGGTCCTCCCCCTGCTGGCTGTCCGCGTACAGGGACGCCCCGGTGACCTCCGTGAGCGCATCCGAGTCCACAGCCGAATTCCGCAGCCAAGTGGCCTTGATGGACACCTTGAGCTTGCCGCAGGGCCTGCCGTACGGCCAAGCGTGTACGACGATATTACGAATGCGATATTAGGACCGCACGCAGAATGATGTTTGAGGGCGAAGTATGTGCGGCAGCTGGGGTTTCACACTTCAATACAGATTCGTCTGAGACAAGAGCTGAAAGACATTCCGTTCTTCGATTCCGTGCAGTACACAGCCCCAGGGCCCCCGCTCTGCGCCCCTCTGGAGGGGCTCCCTCTCGCACCCACCCAGCCACACCACATGCAGACGAGCACTTGCAGACGGCGCAACAACTACGTGGCTATCCGGACGTCACTTCAGGACCCTAAAGTCCCCTGGTCAACCCAACAGCACCCCACGACCAGCGCTTCACCAACCCCACAGCGCCCCCCGGCCGGTTGACCAGCTCCAGTAAACCGCATAGGAAGCGAAACTTAAAAACCTTTCCCAGCAACCCATCCAGCCCGGTTTCGGAGCCGGTTGGCTCACTTGAGGTGCAGCAGCACCTCCTGCGGCTGCGCGTCCAGCGCCTCTGAGCAAAACTGCGCCAGGTTGACATGCACCTTGCCCACCGTCTTGCGCTTCTCCTCGCTGGGCTTGGACCCCGGCTTGACCGACTGCACGTTCGCGTCATCGACAGTACGAAATTGAGTTTTAGGTCGGGGGCCTCCAGGGCAGGGCAGGGCAGGGAGTTCGGGACGAGGAAGGAAGGGGAGGAACTGCGAGAACCGGAGGTCTGCGGAGAGGGAATGGTCCGTCAGCGTCACCACTGCGCCGTACCTGCACTTTGAAGGCGTAATCCTTGGGGAGCAGCTCTGTGTGCTCTTTGTACATTGTGGCTGTCTGGGGAAGAAGGGGACGGGGGCAAATGGGAGGGTGAAGGAGAGGGTGAAGAGAGACGCGAGGAGGGGATGAAAGGGAAGGGAGGAGGAGGGGAACAAAAAGGGAGGGGAGGAGGGGGAGGAGGTGAAAAAGGGGGAAACCCGGGGGGGAGGTCCTCATGTTCGGCGGTTGCAGGGAACTGTGCCCTCCTATTCAGAGAGGGAGGGTGGGAGAAGAGAGTCAGTGTGATTGCGGATGGCGTGAGGGACAGCAGGAGAAGGAGCATTAGAGGGGCAGTTACAGGCACAATGGCAGCACCAGCAAAGCAACTGCGTGTGCGCATGGCTTCCTCCATGCGGTCGGTATGAAGCTGTACCTTAGGTGGGTACTTATGTGCCCATGTGCTCATCCCTCACTAAACCCTCACTACATCAGACGAGGACCAGGGTCGCGAACTGCCATCAGCGCCAAGAGATCAAAAGGTGCAGCTGCATGCCAGGACGAGGCTAGGGCCTGGGGTGTCCAGCAAGCGCGCAAAGCCCGCGGGCGGCAAGGAGCTGCATGCCGAGATTGGGCGCAGAGGATGACATGGGGACTAGCAGGACTGTGCAAGTGCTTATGGTGACGCTAACGTTTCTCTGTCCCTCCCGGCGACCACGCTCAGGGCCCATCCTTGCTGTAACCCCTTTGATGCCGCTGGACTATACCCCTGACCTGACGGAGGTATTGCTTCCAGAAGACTGCGTGTGTGTTCGGATTGACAGCTTCCGCCTCTGTTACAAAGACCTTAGATCCACGCTCCCACGCAAACGAGCAGTGCGTCACGCCGTCAGGGAGGTCGCCTGCGATTTCATGAGCTTTGATGCGGCGACAGTGCAGACACAAGAGCGAAGTGCCAGGCCGCACCGCAAAGATATGGTATAACCTCCAGCTCGTAGCGCAAAGCCATCCGCCCTCGCGCTTTCTGGCCGATGTCCACAAAACGCCGGCCTATCGTCTTGGTCATTTTCACACATTCAGTCAGTTACTACAAGTACTTTAAACCGCAGCAGTGATGAGAAGCGGACCTCCCTAAAGTATCCTAAGCCACGAAATACAGATGTGACTGCCCAGAGACTAGAAAAGCGCCCTAGTATGCATGTTCGGAGAGGTAACTGGAAAGGGTCAACGCCGCACTATCCAGGCCTTCCATTCCTCAAACAGGAGCCTTCAAAATGGATAGCAGGAGCAGTGTTGTGCAGCGATCACGCCAAGCTAACAGTCAATTCATTACTTGTGGGCAGCCTTGCACAGGCCGTTAATGGGCGTCAAAGACAGACTGAATTAGTGGGTATTGGTCTTTTTGTAAATTTCAGCTGAAGCTTAAGACTAGGCAAGCCGGTAAAATAACTATCAACGACCCAGGCTAGTGTAAAACCAACAAGATATAAGGCAGTATTTGCATTTCATTCATAATGCTCGTTGAGAGATTTCAGATATGCATCCGCGGTTGTTACTCTCCCTTACACGCCAGGTCAGACATTCGTCAACATTCGAGAGGGGGGTCGCCAGGAAGTGCGGACCACGCAGTGCATATCTAAGGGGCAATGCATCCACCGAGAATCAATCTCACTTGGCAATCAAAAACCAATCGCTCACGGAGCAAACGGCCTACACATATGCAGTCCTCCTCACCACTGAACACTCAAACCCCCCTCCCCGGAAGCACACGAAAATCCCCCCTTCACTCAACAAAGCGGCCCTAGCATACATACATGAAAACATGACGGCATCGGCATGGACACCAGGATCTAGCTGTCCGTATCTGCCGCTACTGCTACCGCTCCCGGCGACAGGCACTTGGCCTGCGCCTTCCGCCTCCCCCCCGATCAAGTACCGATATACAGCGCTCTCCTGCATCTCAACTCATTCTCACATCCCCTTGTCACTATGATCTTCAGGCACCCGCCAGGCAACAGCTGGTAACGGGTCCTCAACACAACGTGAAACCTTCTCCACACGAAAACACACACACACATCCTGAACGCCGGATAAGGTGTGGAAAAGATACATGTGACTGTGACATCTCCTATGGCAGGACCCCATCAAGCCCATGCCCCAACCTTTAGCGAAGTGCCGTCCGCATATGTCGGCTCCGCTCCCTCCACCACGTCTGGAGACAGAACGGCCGGGAGTGGCAGCACCCATCCAACCGCCCCTGCAAGCAGGTGACCTATGATCATGGCACCCATCCATGCATCAAACGGCACTGCTAATCGACATGGGCTGGCAGCCCTTCCCATGCCACTCCACCGGCTGGTAGCCGTGGCTATCATCGCGCAAGAAAACTTCATCATCCCTCACCGCGACCAGCTGGCGAAGTTTTCTTGTGCGATGAAGAAAGCCTCGCCAAAAGATCACGGTGCGGGATGAGAAAGAGATGGGAAGAGATGGGAACTCCCAGAAAGAGCCGATCTCCCCATATTCCCTGTCCTTCACAGCTTTCGTCCCGAGTGTGGCGGTGTACACGCCATGCCAGTTGCCCTGCTGCTACTACTGCTCATCTTCCCCCTGGGCCGCCCCATCCCAACCCATCCCGCTGCAGCGCTGCACCGCAGCGGTCAGAGCGGCAGGCGGTAATGATGCACACACCCGAGGCGATGGTGGCGGAACAGCAGCACTGTACACACGCCCATTGCCTCGCACTGGGATGTATAAATATATATTTACCAGAAACGCACCGGTAGTGTAGTCGTGATGTGTAGATGATGTTGGTGGGAGGGTGCAGGGTGCGAGGTGGGCACAAGTGTCCACCGCACGAAAGAACGCAAGGCACATGTCAGTATTCACAGACAGACAGCCGGACGGACAGACAGACAAACTCACACGGACACACACGCATCCTTGTCATTTGCCTTATCACTCTCTTCCCCGGACATCTTCTCAACAAAATCACGGCACTTCAAGGCCGTGGGGCAGAGGCGGTACAAGGACCCTAAAACGCCGTCACATCAAATCCACCCTCGCTCCTCTCTCTCCGTTTTCAGTTTGCAGTAGAAATTGTCCTCTTCTCTCTCTCTTCCTCCCTCCCTCTCTTTCCAAAGACAGCAACGAAACAACTGCGCGCTCGATCGCAAGAGTGTATGTGTGTGAGTGTGTGCGACAACGACGACACAGTCCCCCAAAAGCCCCCCGATATGGCGTGGAGGTCGCAATCATGCTCCTTGTCCTCGCTCTCTCCCTCCCCTCCCTCCCTCTCCCTCCTCACTCTTCCTTCCCCCACCCATTTCCCCCCCCACCACCACCACCACCGCCACCACCACCGCGGTCCGCCCAGCTTCCATCATCACCAGCCCCACACCTTCGCAACGGCCACACACAGGAAACACGTTTCACGACGGATGAGATCGATGGATCGATGGATCCATCCTGCGCTCTCACGTGATTGGCAGCCAAACTCAAATCCAAAATTTAAACCCAAATCCGGATCCGAATCCAAACCCACTGAGGCACCTGAGCACCTCGGTAGTGGGACATCGCTGCAGCTGGCTGTTTGAGGCAAACGCTGGTCGACTACCATCATGCCATTCGTCGTCACGGAAAAACAAGCGCGAAAAGCTCTCCTTCAAAATCCGCCTCCTAGAGACGTCCGTTTCCCCACCCTCCGTCCGCCGTTCCAGTTCCACCCACACCCCCTCGGTCAGCGTCGCATATGGGAAGACGCACTGTACGGCAGAGAGTCCCACTGTACGGCACTGACTCGTGTTCATCCGTACCATCTGCCAGTGCTACGTGTGGCCTCCGTTCCTCAGCCCATTGTGTACGACTCCTTCTCCAGGTTGATGACTGTAGACTTGGTCTTCACCATCATTGCCAGCGAGTTGCGAATTCCCTGACTGCCAATACCCGAGTCCCTGAAGCCTTGGAAGGGGAAGTGGTCGGGGCCGCGAGCAGGCGCCGAGTTGACCTGCGAGTGCGGTGGTGACGTTTTCCGGGGGGGGGGGAAGAGGGTTCCTTGAGGTGGGTCGAGGGCCGGGCCAGGGGGACTGGAGTCAGGGTGGTCACATCGTGTGACGGGGTTAGGGACGGCATGTGTGGCGGGGGGGGGGGGGAGGATCATATATGCAAGAAACTCAGAAATGAACTGCTGCCGGCGTCCAAAGTCCGACGGGGGAAACGGGAGCGTCTTACGGGGCTCCTAGGGGGTTCATCATCATTGATAATATGCTGCAGCAGCAGCAGCAGCCGCAATTCCGGTCCCACCCCCCAAAAGAAAAACCGTTCCCCTTCCCCTTTCCCTCCTCTTCCACCCTACCTGCACTGTCCCGGTTTCCATGGCGTCGCTGATGGCAATGGCCGCGTTGATGTCCCTCGTGAACACACAGCCCTGCAGCCCGTACTTGGAGGCGTTGCAGTGCGCCACGGCCTCCTCAGCCGACCGCACCCTCATGACCGGCAGCACCGGGCCAAAGGGCTCCTCCCAGGCCAGCCGCATGGAGGGAGTCACGTTGTCAAGCAGCACCGGCCAGATCAGGTTGCCCTCGCGCTTGTAGGGCCCAGTCACGAAAGTGGCGCCTGCTTGCGGCAGCAGGGGGTTGATTCGTAGGTTCGAGCGAAACATCGTCCATGTCCCAGATGCAAAACGGCCGGCAAAGGGACAACGGCCGACTTCCAAAGCACCGCCAACTGGAGGTGCGGAGAGAAACGGGCCCCCCCTCCCCGCCTTTCTTGTACAATCTTTTCTTGGCAGCAGCTTCACTCGTTCGTGGTTCGTCTTTCCCCCCTTTCTCTCCCGCTCTCTCTCTCCCTCTCTCCTCTATCCCCAACCCGAAGACCCCACACACCCGCACGTACAGGCCCTCCCCCTTCCTTCCCCATTTACTTTCTTGAATCTGATCCTCAACCCCCCAACCCCCCACCCCCTTACCCTTCTCCTTGGCGTCCATGACCAGGCCCTCGATGAAATTACTACTGCTCTCCGAAACCACGGGCGTGATGTCGCAATCGTCCTCCGGCATGCCCACGCTGAGCTTCCTTACACCCTCCGCCACCGCCGCCACCAGCGCATCCGCCACCGCGTCCACCGCCAGCACCAGCTTCACGGCGGTGCAGCGCTGCCCGCTGTAGCTGAAGCCGCCCTTGAGGATGTGTTTGGCGGCCAGGGCTAGGTCCGCGTCCGCACACACGATACAGACGTCCTTGCCCCCTAGCTCCATCTGCAGGGGGACCATGCCCGCCTTCTTGCTGATGGAGATACCTGCCGGGAAGATGTGGGGGTGGAGGTGATGGTGGGGGTGAAGGGTTGTGGGGGGAATCATATGCAAGGAAACTTGGAATGAGCTGCTGCCGGCGTCCTTAAGAGTTCAAGAAAACTGCCTCGTTGAGGAGTCCTAAGCGAGGGGAAGGAGGGGGAGGGAAATACACGCAGCGCCGAGAAAAACAACGGCGCCCACGTCTGCAAGGAGGGAGGACAGGAGGCGGCCAGCAGCAAGCCAGGTGGGGGATCAAAAGAACACACACACATGCATACATACACACATACATATAGGCAGGTGGCTAGCAGAAGTTAAGGCCTGACTTCTGCTCCCGGAGGTTCCGGGTTGAAATCCGCCTGCCGACCCCTCGTGTGTGTGAGGGGTGTTGAATTGGGAGGTGGCCCCCCCTCTTGTAGGACGGTGTAGGACGAGATTATATCAACTTGCGAGCTGACCGGGAACTAAGTTGAGGCGCCGTTGATCCGCTAGATTTGGTTGGCTGCTGGTGGTGAGTTGCTGAACCCAACGAATACGTTCTGAGGTCGGATGGGGTGAACGGAATAGGGTGCCCCTCTCGCAGGGGACGGCAGGAAACTGCCTCGGGGAAGGGGGCCGCTGGTGAAGCTATACCACCCTGTAACAACATACACAGATACACTCATATACACATACATACATGCATACACACACGCACCCGTGTCACCCCCCGTGAAGGAGATGCAGTTCACTCCAGGGTGGGTGGTGAGGAAGTCGCCAATCTCCGCCCCCCGCCCGGTGGCCAGGCTGAGCAGCCCCGCCGGCAGCCCAGCTGCATGGAAGCACTGCAGCATGTGGATCCCCGCCACAGCCCCCTGAGTGGGGGGCTTGAGAACCACCGCATTGCCCGCCATCAGCGCGGGAGCCAACTTGGATACGGCCAAGTTGACCGGGTAGTTGAAGGGGGGAATGGCCAGGACCACACCCAGGGGAACCTGGTGGAGGGGACGGGACGGGGGGGGAGAGGGAGGAGGCGGAGGGGCGGGGGGAAACGGCTGAAGGAAGAGGGGGCGGCCGGCCGTTTGGGAAAAGAAATGCATGAAAGGAAGTCACGTACCACACGCTATGCGACGAGCATGTGCGCATGTAGAGGGAGGGTGTTTTGTAGGAGAGGGTGGTGGTGATGGAGGTGGTGGAATTGCCGTCCTCGCATCCATGAGACGGCCGTCACCAGATGGACGGAGGGGGAGATACGCACCCTAAGAGGCGGATAGTCGGAGCCACAGTCACCACCTACTGTTGCTTGCTACTCAAGGGCGGGGCGGGGCGGCAGGTATCCTCCCCCTCCGGCCCTCCCCCCATCAGCAGACCACTCCCTCAGATTGCCACTTTGGATGGCAGCAACTCAACTTCGGTAATAACTTACATCACACATGATCTCTAACCCCAACCCCCCATTTTACCCCATTCGCCCCCTCCCCCCAACGACAAGCTTTCGGTGCCGACCCGCGCCCCTCCAACAACAGCTTCATCCAGCTTCACCTTCATTACCTCTTAGCTACAGGATTTAAATGATACGGGACAGGATTTAAATGATAGTACAACCCACTAGCACGGATAGTCCTTGTACAGGGTTTCACTTCCGCCCTGCTTTTTGCCCCCCCTGCTTTTTTCCACCTCCAACCCCCCCGCTCCTGGCCCTCCCCCTTCCTAAATACCTTGGACACCAGGCACATCTTGTTCCTTCCGTTGCCGGGGAATGAGTCCGAGTTGAGCAGCTGGCCCTCCCCCAGGTACCTCACCCCCTCCTCCGCCGTGTAGTCAATCAGGTCAGCGGAGCGAATGACCTCGGTGAGACTGTCCTTGGCGGGCTTGGCAACCTTTGGAGGGGTTGGTCCAGGGGGGGAGGAAGGGGACATGGGGGAGGGGCGGCGGTTTGGGGGAGGGTAGTGGGAGCTTGTGTGCCGGATCCAAGGGATCAGCTGCCGACGTGGCGGGAGGGAAGTGGAGGATGTGGGACTGGGACCTACTTGCGGGAGCGGGGGACGTGGCGCGGTGGTGTAAGGGGGGAGAGGGAGGTTGGAAGAGGGAGAGACGGGTAGTGGGGAGGAGGTTGAGGGAAACTGGGGAGACACATTTTTAAGGGTGGGGTGGGATGAGATGGGATGTGGGTCACACTATGTTTTAAATAGCCGGAGTGCCTTCAACCCAGGCTTGCAGTAATGCTGGCACTGGAACCCACCTCCTTAACCAGGCAGTCCGCGATGGGCTGGGCGTGCTGTCGCATGAGCGCCGCCACCTTATGAAGGTACTCAGCACGTTTCCAGAGAGGTGTTTTGGCCCAAGCCTTCTGGGAAACCTTAGCGGAATCAAACATCTTGTTGACTTCATCTTGTGTGCAGGCTGCGGGCAGCAGGTAAAAGAGCGACTGATTGTAATCGGACAAGGCTGGGAGGTGGCGCGCGCTCCAGGACACAAGGTCGCCTTGTCAAAGAAATTTGTCTTAATTCGTGCCGTTGCGCAGCAGGACAGCGCTATTAACTCAGCTAACCTAAGGATCCAAGGGGCAAAACCCTTTACGCTGTAGAGCCACGGAGAAGGACACAACTTCAGAGAAATGTAGGCTCATAAAGACTGCTTCTACAAAGCAGCCCGTGCGGTCTTTCAACCAAAATACTTCAGGCGCCCACCCTTAAATAACGCCTGCAGTGGCCGCACGCCGTCCATCCATAGTTCTGAGCTAGGATTAGCACCATACTCGCCCAAATGACAACGAGCCGTGTTCACCTTGGACTTGAAAGCACGTTTGCCGGGTCGAGGGATTGGTGATGCCCACAGCCTTCCCCGATGTGCTTTCCAGCCATTGTCCATTCAAATAGTATTTGTAGACGCCGTTAGGCGCAACAATATCCTTGTAAAAGTCTGACATCGTGCTGAAATGCCTTGCAAGGGGCCCAGTTGAGAACGCACCAGTTGAGAACGCACAGGAAGTAGCAAAGTTTATGTTTAATTTGTTTAAAAGCCTGTGCATTGACAACTATTGCGATCAGAAGTTCCTTGCTGTGCTATGTGCGACTGGGATGGACGATCAATCGGTGACACAAAACTCCAAGGCAATATATTGGATTCAGATACTGAGTACTAAATATCCAAACACCCCCAGGTGTAGGTTCTCTTATCATGTAAAGTTCAAGGGACGCAAAAGAAGCCCCCAATTCTACCGGTAACGGGAATTGCGTAGGCACTAAGGACGAGTTTTGCCATGCGGATTTGCGGGTATATGCAGTCTTTAGAGATGTAAACAATTGTACAGGTGTATTCGAGCGATCTTATTGTCTCATAACTTCCCGCCCAATCCTAGCCCACCCAAGCTGTTGGTGCCATCCGGGCTTCAACGCATGAAGTTAACACTTCAACCGATAACTTTATCATGCACGACGGAGGCTCATCCAGCTCTGCCTCGGAAGGCTCCGATGCCGGAACCAGGGCAAACCCCAACGTTTTTACAATTCTCCACGAAAAGGCTCTAAGCCATCAGGTCTGCACGGTTCTACAGCCAGGAAGAGAAGAAGTCTACGTAACCCCTACAGCAAAGCTGCCAGCGACGCAATCTAGATCATGACCACCGAAACCACGACTGCAGGTCGTGCTGGGATGCTGGTGCCCAACCATGGATCTGCTGGCGCTCGTCAGCGACGACGGACAGCTGGGGGTGCACCGCCTGGAGTGGCAGAAACTGTGGGTGGCCTGCCCGGACACCCCCATCACGGCCCTCTGCTGGCGACCCGACGGTGGGACCCACATAACAACAAACACCCCAACCCCCTTCTGAAGCGCTTTTCTGTGCTTTACTCCAACCCGTCCCTCTCCCCATGGAGGGCTTATTTGGACTGTTACCCTGGCTGTGCTGTGTATTGTACCGACGCGTCTTGGGCATGCAGCCCGGTCTCCTAGTCCATGCTTTCGACATGGCATCTTGCGGCTGCTGGCTCTCTCTCCCCCCTCCCAAACACCTCACCCACTTAAGTCCTCTCCTCTCCGTTACGCGTGATGCTGAACCTCTGCACAGGGAGACCCTCCCACCTTCGCACCACGCCCTTCATAAAGTGCCTCCTCTACTTTAGCTATGTCACCAAACCAACCTCTCTAACAGCCGCAGCATCCACCGTGAAATTAACGAAACACACGCACGCGCAGGCAAGGTCCTGGCTACCGGCCACCGCCACGGCGCCGTGTCCCTCTACAACGTGGAGGCCTGTGAGCTCTTCCGTACCCTCCGAGCCCCCCTAGCGGCCCCCGTCTGCCACCTCAGCTGGGTGCAGGGCCTAGCGCCGAACCCTGCCACCGCCACACCAACGCTGCACCTCGCATACCGCTACCGCCACACACGCTTCTTCCCAGCGCCGCCGCCGGGCCGGGAGCATGGCGCGGGGCTGGCGGGGATGACGACGGCGGCAGCGGCGGCAGCCTCCGGCACCGCAGGAAAAGCCAGCGCCGCTGCCGGAGGCAGCAACGCGGGCCCCGGCGGTTCCGCTGCCGCCGCCACGCTACATGAATGGCCGCCGCCGCCGGACTCCCTGGATGTCTTGGTGACATCAGATGGCGGCGGCGGCGTGTCCATGTTTGCGTGTGGGGAGGTAATGGTGGCGGCGCTGCCACCCAGGGCAAGCGGCGGTGGCAGCGGCGGCGACGCGAGGGATGGAGGTGGCGAGGCGGAGGCCGCCGCCGCCGCTCCGCTAAGGGCCCCGTTGGCGGCGGTCCGCGGCGAGTTGCCCGGGAAACTCCAGGCCGTGCTGTCCCGCGACCTGACGTCCCTGTTAGTGGTTTCAGAGCCTGTGGCGAACGGTGATGGGGCTAGCGGCAGTGGGGGCGGCTTCTCTGCCACCGCCGCCGCGGCAGCGACCCTCAGCGTATACGGATGCGGCAAGCTTGGCAGTTGCCAGGCGGAGATCTTGGAGTTGTCATTGCTCGGGGGCCTAGTGGCGGGCCGGCTGAAGGCAGCGCAGGCGGCGCTGGCGGCGGCAGCGAGGGCGTGGAAGGGCGCAGCTTCGGAGCTGAGCAAGCGGATGGATGAACAATTGCGGGAGGTGCGTCGTCAACTCGCCATCATCGCCGTCTTCGTCTGGGGCTGGGTCGGGCTGGGCGGGCGAACAGACCATGCCACCCCCCTCACGCCCGTTACCATTATCATCCCCCCCTATACATGCCATTAGTACGCCCGCACCGTGTCCTGTCACCATGGCGTTCTTCCCTCTAGTAGCAACACCCCACCTGCCCATCCCCCCTCCGAAACCATCCACCCCTCCATTCAGATCCTGGAGTCGCATGGCCACGACCCCGACGACGTGTTGGGGGAGCTGACGTGCATGCTGGCATCAGGTGTGGGTGGGGGGGAGGGGGCCCCTCAGGAGGAGTGCAAGGGTGCGCGACATGTGAACCTCAGCTGGACGAGGATTTCAGCTGGGTTGCTCTACCCATACAGTTGATTAAGGCAGCAGCAGCAGCAGTAGCGGCAGTAGCGGCACAGTGGTATGTGAGGGCGCTGTTAATGTATCATCCCAAGGTGGTATTGCTGTCGGAGAGGAAGGGACGTGGCGGGGGCGGCATGCAGCATGTAGCGAATCGAGGGGTGGGGGTGGGTCAGGTACATGGAGGCCCTGTGAGACGTGCAGCGCGTCCGGACACACCGGCTCGTCATGCCCCCAGACATTGCCCCCAGTATCATTCCTCTGGACTTCACACGTCCATGTCACCCCTTAAAAACCCCATCAAAACCCTCCAACCCCCCCGCCCATTTTGCATAGGAAGCGTCCCACCCCCTTTTTTCCCACTGCCACTCACCCCGCCCACCTCGTTTCCCTCCCCCCCGGACAAAACCCGGCCGCCCGCCCTCCCAGGCCACGTCAGCCCCCCCCTGCAGTCCTTCCTGACCAGCACCCTCACGGAGGCGGGGCTCAGGAGACTGGGCAAGATGGTGGATATGGCCGTACAGGAGGTGAGGTGAGGGAGGGGTGGAAGTGGTATGTTGGGGCATGGACGGGGGCGAGGCGGGTGAGGTGAGGTGAGGCGATTGTGTTGTGGAGATTGGATTTGGGTTTTCGAAGGAAGGGATGGAGAAAGGGAGGGGGGGATGTTGATGGGATAGCTCTAAACCCTAAGACAACCCCCTGCCTAAGACAACCGCCTCCGGGGGATAGTAAAGGCAGGTACGGGTATAAAACGTCATACCGTACACGCAGCGTGTGGGTGTGGGTATTTTGGCGGCGTACGGCATGGATTATTCTAGGGCGCCAATGCCAAGCCTAGCCCTGTGCTGTCCGTCTTCTCCCTGCCTTCCCCTCCTTCCACCTCGCAAAACCCATCTTTACTTGTCCCCTTTTCTTCTCCCACCATCCGCCTCCTCGACCCGCCTCGTCGCAACTACGCCCTCTACCGCGGCCCTCCCCTTCCTCGCAACTGCTTGCAAGCGATCGGGCCGCACCTTCTCCCCTTCCCAGCAGTTGAGATCTTGATCCTCGCACCTAATTCCCCCCTTCCCCCCTTCCCCCCCTCCATCCCCTCCACCCCCCCCGGGTCCTACAGGTCTCCTGCCAGCTCCTCGACGGGGTGCTCCCCGCCCTCCAGCTGGTGGCCTTCGTGGTGGGGGACCTGAGGGGAAGGGCCCGAGCTGCCGACATCACACAAACCCTGGGTCTGCAGGCAGGAGGGGAGAGAGGGGAGGGGAGGGGGGAATCAGATGACGCCGGAGGCAACGAGGAAAGAGTCAATTGCCAAAGTCCAGAATGGACAGGGAAGGGGGGAAGCAGAGGTGACGGTCTGCAGTATATGTGCGTGTGTGTGTATGTATGTGTGTGTGTGTGTGTGTGGAGCGCGCCCAGGAGGGTTCATGTGTGACGCACGTCTTCCCCCTTCTCCCCAGGTTATTACCTTCTCCTTTTCCCCACACTCAACCCGCCACGCACCACAATACACATACATACACACTTACGTACACCCCTCCCTCCGGCCCCCCCGTGTGCAGGAGTACGCCGTGGCGGTCACCGAGGTGGAGGCGGTGAAGGCCCTGTTGCAGACGGAGTTCCTCCGGCAGCTGCTGACGCGGGTGGGCTGCCAGTACCGGGTGTTTTTCACATGGCTGCTCAAGATACTGCAGGTCGGGGTGGGGGGAGGGGAGGGGAGGGGAGGGGGCTAATGCGGTGCAGAAGTTTTAACGAAACAATTCTTGATGTCCAGCGGGAGGCAGGGAAAGGGGGGGAAAGGGGAGGGGGGGCGATTACATGCAGGGAGGAGTCAACTGCCGACCGAGTAGGAGGGGGGGATGGGGGGTTTGTGAGGGGACGCGGAATGCGACCCGAGAGGAGCCCTTTCCATCCAGAGAGGCGCAGGATGGGGGTTGTACGGCTTTGCGGTGGGTGGGTAGTCGCGAGCAAGGAATGTGGAGCAGGTATGTGGAGATTGAAGCGCGGGAAAGATCGCGAAGGGTGTGTGTGTGAGGGGGAAATGAGGTTGCGAACAGTCCGAGGTGGCGTCGGGATGAGGCTAAGTGGCTGAGCTTGCAACCCACACAACCTTAAGCATCCGGCTTGGGACGGCTGTCAGTTCGATCTTTCAACGGCGGAAGCAGGCCGCTGTCGCATCCCCCCCCTTACACTGCCCTCCTTGAGTTCCCAATCCCCGGCCTCCCCCTTCTAACTCTCTCTACCTTCCTCCCTTTCCTCTCCCCTCCCCGCCTCTTTCTCACCCGGCAGTGTCCTCCACACTCGCTCGTCCCTTTCCCACCCTACCCCTCCCCTACCCTCTTCTTACTCCTCCGTACCCTCCCCCCGAACCCCCCTAACGTCTTCCCCCCCTTAACCCCCCCCCCGCCCGTTTGTGGTTCGTCTTTCCCCCCTCCTCCTCCCCCGCACTCCCCTCCTCAGTCCCTGGAGGAGACCCGGCCCCCAGGTGCGGAGGGCCCCGTACCCGGGGGGCCCCTACCTGGATCTGGATCTGGATCCGGATCCCTAGCTGACGCCCCGATATGCCTACCCACCCTGCTGGCCTTCCTGGAGGAGGGAGGCCAGCTGAGTGCGGATGCCGTGGCGAGAGATCTGGACGCCTCGCAGTCCACCCTGGGGCTACCCGTGGGCTCACTCACCTTCCCTAAACACCTGCTACCGCATCTGAAGGCGCTGCAAGAGGCCGCATTCCCAATGCCGCAAATGGAGGGGTCGCTACTGCAGGAGGAGGCGGCGGCGGCGGGGGGGGCTTCATCGCAAAGCGGCGGCGGCGGCGGGGGCAGCAACTCCTGCAGCGGGGGCATCAGTCGTTGGCCTGATAAGCCTCTCCAGCGGCAGCTGGTGTTGTTAGGGGAGCTGTGCCGGGGGGCGTTTGGCAGGCTACCAGAAGACGTGTCGCCCTCGGTGCAGCTGCTGGTGCGGGTGAGTGCAAGTCGCGCATGCGTGTGTGTGTTTGGCGGTGTGAAGTAGGGGGTGAGATTGTAGCTTCACCCGTTGCCACTAGCTAGCCTGGCAGTCCCCCTACCACCTTCCCCGGTGTTTCGGGGCAGCGTCATCGTTCGAATCCATGTGTGCCGGATTCTGCAAGTCAGTGACCTGACTATTCCGGGTTCAGCACCCACCACCACGGGCATCCAGTGGAATCTCCCCCGCGGATCAACGGCAATGGCGTCTACTCCACTGCACGCGCCCGGTCGGCGCGCTGGTCTCTCTCACTATAACCGGGTCGGTCCATCGCCGTTTCCGTCGGCATGGGGTTGCATCCAGCCTCGTCGAGTCGAAGGATTTTCATCCTGCCCTTTGTCGGAATCGTTTCTAGATCCTTTCAGGCACATACTTTGCCGCGCCTTAGCATATGTATCGTGTTCGGACGTGTGTGGACGGAATGTGTGTGTATGCCTGAATCTGTGTGTGTGGAGGGGTAAAAGAGTGGGGAGCGGGAAGGGGGCTGAGGAATGCTAGCTGGCTGGGGGAGAAGTTTTGTTGTGAGCACGGAGGAGCTTGAGCGCGGGCTCGGCTTGGCGATGGAGGGGTAGTGGGCCATTGGAGCGAAGAAGACAGGAGAGTGTGCGGTATTCCAGACCGCCCTCCCAGGCCTCAATGGCTAGCGCAGTGGTACAGAGACTGGTTTTAGTGGGTTTTAAGAGGGCTGGCGAAACCAAGATGGCGGTTTTATCTGTTGCCGGGGTGTCAGGTGGTGGTTATAGATTGAGGGGAGCCATCTAAACCCCGTCAACAGTCACCGGAGCATGTCCTTTCAAACACGACGTCCTTTCAAGCGCTTGCTGTTTCACACCCGTCTCATGCCGTTGTGTGGTCCTTCCGTTCCTCTCCCCCATCTCTTAGGGTCCTATCCCCTCCCTCTTCCACACACACATAAAAACGCACACGCTTTTCCCCCATCACAAACCTCCGGTGTTCGTTCCTTAATCCTCCGAATACCCAAGCGGTTACACACATATAAGTCACGTGTGTGTTATGTGTGTATGTATGTCCATGTGCAGATGCCGCTACTGCCGCCTCCCTCGCCGCGACGGGGACCTCACCCACGCGCTAGCCGAGGCGGTGAGGACGGCTGTAGCAGCTACCTCGGGAGCGGGTACGGCATCTGCTTCTGTATGCAACTGCCCCAGATCCGTACAGAGCCGCACGCGGGTAGGCCGGCGCTGCTGGCCTGCACCGTACCGGCACCGGCACCGGCGGCGGCGGCGGCGGGGGCGGGGGCGGCGGCACGGGAACTGGGGGATGGCGGCGGCGGCGGCGGTGGTGGTGCCAGCGGAGGCAGGGAGGCGCTGCTATTGATGAGGCTTACGCTTAAGCAGCGGAGGACCCCGCAGGCAAGCGGTCAGAGGTTTTCGAGGAGGCTCGGGGTGCCGGGTAAATGACCAGGAAACAGAGCAGAGATTCGTGCACAACAGATGATCGTGCACATGTTTATTTGTGTTCATGTGTTTTTGCTGTTTGTGTTATAGCTTGATGGTATACACCCACACCCGGCTGCAGGCACACGCCTGTCTCCTGACTCTACCGCATGGTATGAGGGTATTGGGACTGTCGTACTACCGCGCTGCACAGCTGGCCTTACTGTTAGAGTCGTACACCACTGACCCGCGGGTCGGCGGTCAGGGCTCAGCAGGTAGCGGCGGCGGCAGCGGCTCCGAGACCGGGGGCCTCTTGGCGCTGGTTCCTACGGAGGGATTGCAGATGGTCGACGTCGGTGACATTGCCGGCGGCGAAGTTGTACGGCACTTAGCATCGCCATCATCCTGTGCAAGTGTGGCTCAGGTACGGCGCAAAGGTCCCCCGGAGGGACTGGCTGTGCGTGTGTATGTATGTGTGTGTATTGGTGGGATGGATTTGACGGTGGTGAGCTTAGTTGTATTGAAAGCTGTAAAGGGAGGGAGGTAATGTACTGTACAATAGAGAAGGGTTGATGTGGGGGCGGCGGCAATTCATGCGGCAATTGGGCGATGTGGAAGAGTCAAGCGAAGCAGACGGAGTCCGGATGTAGATGGGGTCAAGGGAGGCCGGAGAAGCTGCGGGATGAGGGGGGCTGGAGGGAGGGAAGCCCTTTGGAGACTAAAGGGTGTTCGGGGGGGGGGGTCCACCGCCTTCGCCCATCGGCGGCGGCCGCCCTCCTCTCCTCTACTTCTCGACGCTAAGATGGTTCGTTTTCTTGGTGGCTCGGCAACAAAGATAAGACGAAGCAGGACATACGAAACAGACAGACAGACAGACAGACAGACATAGAGGCACAGCTTTCACGTGGGCCCGTGGGAACCTTACTCCGCTGTCCCTGCTGCAGCCACTCTCTTGCCGCCGCTCTGTTGAATGACTTCCGCCGTGTCCCCCGCCTCCTCCAACCCCCTCACTTCACTCCCAAATCCCCCCGGGGCACCCCAACTCCCTTGCAGATTTGTACGGCACGTGGGGCAGTAGCTCACTGGCCAGTACCGGGCTCCCGGCTGAGGGGGGCCCCGGGGGGAGGGAGCCCGGGGGCCGCCGGCAGTAGCAGCAGCGGCGGGGGTAGCGGCGGTGGGGCTGGAGTAGTTGGCGTCAACGCGTCTGGGGGTGGTGGCGGGGCGGGGTGGGTGCCGCCGCTGCTTGTGAGCGGTCCTCGTGGCCTTGCAGCCGCCTTCACTGCGGGGTCCCGGTCGCTCATGATAGACTTGGAGGAGGATGAGGAGGGGGATGAGGAGGGGGAGGGGGACGAGGAGGAGGAGGAGGAGGTAATGAGCAGTGGGGGGGAGGAGGAGGAGGAGAGGCAGAGGGAGGAGGGAGGGAGTGGTAAGAAGGAGGGGGAGAGGAGGCGGGGAGGGAGAGGGGAAGGGGGGAGGAGGGGAGGTCGAAGTGGGAAGAAGGTTGCCATGGAGGAGGATGACTAAGGGTCGGGAGGGGCAGGTGGAGGGAGGAGCGCGCGGGCGGAGGTGGTGGCCGGAGGCTTGCCATCCCTTACCCCTTGCACTGTGCACTGGTGTACTGCGCTGCACTGTACGGCAGTGGGTCTGTCGGTCATGTCTCGCAATGGCTGTCCGCCGTCCTTTCGCGGCCGCTAGCTGCCCACCTGCCCACCTGCCGCCGGCCTAACCGAACCCCTTAACCTCAGGGCAACCCGGAGGGGGAGGGCGTGGCACCGCGGGGTTGCGCTGCACCCCGGGGCCGCTTTCACTCCACAGACATCCACAATGTTGTTGCATGTATGTATATACATACATGGTGTGACCGCCCCAGCATGGCCATATTGCAAACCTCACGACCCACCTGGTGCATCCTTCGAGCTGATGGATATGGAGGGTATGTAGTAAGGAGGAAGGGGGCACTTAGAATCCGGGTCGGCGGCGGCGAGGCCAGCTCCCGTGTTGCCAGCAGCCAAAATGTCCTCCTCCTCGTCCGGGAGCTGCAGAGCGTGTTGCAGAGCGGATTCTAAACCTAAGTGCCTCTTTTGAGTAATAGTGGCTTCACGGTGGCTTCGTGGCGGCTGCTTGACCGGTACGGTGGCCGGCAGCCGTACCACCTCGCCCAGCACCTCCGGACACGAAATGTGGCGGTCCGTGGTGAACAGAAGAACGAGGTGCAAACTGACAGCGATAGCACCAAGAACGCGGTGCAATACGGGTCCAGCAGCTCCAGCAGCTCCGGGTCAGGTGCGCCCGGATCCCAAGCACTTTGGCCGCTACCGCCGGCTTGCAGGTCGCCGGCTTGCAGGTCTCGACCCACCCAGCAGTGGAGTATTGCCGCCAAGCCCGACGCAGCCATGTCCCTGCACACGAGTACCATCATGATGATACGCAGGCCAGCCGGTCCGGGTTATAGTTTGTGTGTATCCGACAGCTGCGTAATGTGTGCCCTTATGCAGCCGCCCTCTGGAGCCGCACATTGGCTTCATGCTTTAGCATGCAGCCCAGGCGCCAATGTGCGGCTGCCAATAGTCCAGCGCCCGCCATGAGTTTCATCGGAACAGCCTTGGAAGGGGGGGAGACACGGCACAAGGTCAAGGCACCGGCGAGCGAGGAGAAAGCAACTGTGTACGGTACACTTTCACCAAGCTCACCAGGCGGCCGATACGATAGGCGTGCCACAGCCTGTTCGGATGTCACTTAAAATCCAAGTTAGTGCCCTCTGATGAAATCTTTTTGCCAATAGAATATTAGTTAGGGGAACGAAAGGGGAAGAAGAACACTAAAAGAGCTAGAGGATGTTCAATGGTATGCGTGTATATGTACGGTATACGCACTGTAGGATGACGCGATACTAAATCGCTCTCCGCGCCCCACAGGCTTTTTACAAGCGGCCCCCGCACTGTGCGTAACTTGAGCCTTGTATCCCAACAGCCAAGTCGGTCGAGTTGCTCACCAAGTATAGCCATTGCGAACTGCCCACCCCTCCTACGCCAGTGTAGCCATCTCCTGCGTGTGCTCGAACGGACGGACGGACGAACCGACCGATGGACGGGGACAGGGGACAGGGGCAATCCTACGGTTTTGTGCATCTACTTACATTTTGGCGCGGGCTGGGCGCGTCCCGGTGTCTAATTTCTCCCAGATATACGTCATATATCTGGGCCTGACTTCCCGTCCCCGGGTTGCCTAATGCGACCGGTCTCTCCTGGTCCCGGTCGTATTGCCATGGACTTGCACAGCGCCCGGTCTCACGGGTCTCCGGAACGTCGAAGCAACCTCTACCCGGTTCTGATGTGAGCAGTTTGGAGGAAGTGTTTACTACGTGTTTACTGTTGAAAGGAATCAGTCAACGAAGTTTAATGGTATGATTTGAGTTATCGAGGATCGGGTTATTGAGTTGCTGCTTACTAGTAATTTCCAACTGATGCCGGTGGTTCTAACCGTACCCAGTTACACAAATCCAAACTGCACTCGATTGTTCGATGTAGGTTATGTCCAAGCCTGAACATGTAATGCTTGTCGTGGACAGGACTTAGAGGGCCGACTTCCAGTGCTCCATGGTTCTATTGCAGACTGCTTGCTTCCGTGCCTAAATCCTCCATAAATACGACTCCAAACTAATAAAGAAATTGTTTAATAAGGCACAATAGTACGTTACACTTAATGGATATACCTAATGGATTTTGCTAAATTTAAGGCGGCGGTGCAACGCGCCAACGACTGCCTCGAAAGGTGGTTCAGCCTACAGGTAAGGTGGAATACCGCTCACGTCGTGTATCTTAAGGCGAAATTTTCATACCTACTCATCTATTCGATAGGACTCGGCTTCAAAGCTCCTCTCCAACGCAGGCAACATCTTGCAGCGTTTGCCGGTGAGTCATTTCACAGAGGAAATGTTACGCAATTATATTACACATCATATGTTAATATGATCCGCTGTACCCAATTCTTCGCTTTCTTCCTTCACATCGGGCCTTAGTTGCGTCCCCGCCCATGCCCCTTCCGCCGTACCTCTTTCGCGTTGAGCGTCGCGGCACATTGGCTCCAGCCCCACAGCCCTCCGATCAACATCCCGTGGAGGCCTCAACACCAAAATCCAAAGCTCTGATCATAGTCCCGCTTTCCATCTCAACCTCCGGCCGCGCTATTTCCTCCACCTCCCAGCTAACAACCATCCCCACCTGCCAGCCTCGCCATCGCAATTTCACTGATTCAAAATTCCAAACAAAATCAAATATCTGTCCCCGTCTGGCGGTCCCTGCACGTCCCGTCCCGGTGTCAGGCTTTATCCGACGTCCGCAACTTCTCCGCCCTACCCTCGGCGCCTCAGCTTCAGCAGCTGGTGTTCGCCAAACAGGCCCGAGCTCTGGAGGCCGTGTTTGGGCGGCTGCAAGCCAACCTGTGAGCGGGATCAGGACGTTGTGTTGCCGGTCCTCCTTCCCTGTCCTCCCTTCAGAGGGTGCGGTACCGCACATCCTTTCGGTCTTTCCGTCCTAGACCCCACATGTTCCCTCCTCTTCGTGCCGCTTGCCGCTTGCCGCTCATGAACACGAGAAGCAGCTTCCCAAATTGGGTAGAAATCCTCTCCCCTTCTCCACCTCTACCTCCCCGGCTTACACGCACACTTATATACATACACACGCACGCCTGCAGTGGTGCTCCCAGCCCTGACCGCCCGCAACCCCCCCGCCAACTCTCAACCGCAACCACCACCAAGGGTCGAGTTGGAGTCCGTTGTTCGTTCCCAGGAGCGGTTGGTGGTTGAGATGTGGCGGTTGCTGGGGGAGAGTCCTTCCCCGGGAGCATGCGGGGCAGTGCAACCGGGGGGAGCGAGTGTGGCCCAAATGGTGGAGTCCGTGGAGGATGTTTGGTGAGGGGGGGGCAGGGGGGAGGAGGGGGAAGAGGGTAAAGGCCGACCCTTCGCCCGACTTAGCCCGGGACAGGTTTTCCTTGTCGTACATAAAGTCTTCGATCTGAGCGCTGTCTCAGAGAGGGCCTCGGTGAAATAGACTTCTAGTTAAACAACAACACGTACATGGCACTTAAACGACTTCGCCGTGGCTTTTCTTTAAATATACATTAGTTCCCCTTTAGGGGATGAAGAACTAAAGAGGATGGGGTGTCCGCGTGTTTTGCTACTCGGAAACATATCCTCTGAAAGACAATGGAACTGGTAGAAAGCGCGTGATGCAAACATGTTAAAACACGGTAACGGCAAACGGGACGTGTTGTGGCTTAGGAGGGTCTAAGCGCCTACAGAAGGCTCGAACCGACCCGTGTTTTCCTGGCCTTGTAGGAGATCACCTTAACGAACCGCTATCTTACTCTTCCACCACACATACACATATACATACATACGTACATACATACACACACACTAACCCCCCGTTCTTTCCTCCGTCCCCAGGCGCATGTGCCGTGACGACCTGGCTGTCCGCGGTGCGGCGCTGGCCTCTCTGAGCCACACGACCACTCCCCGGAAGTTCGCGGAGGTGCAGGCGGCGTTACTCAGTGGGTTGGGGTGCCCGCTGGGGTAGGGTGGAGGGAGCTGTGCTGTGATGTGCTGTGCTGGTGGGTTTTAGGGTTTCACAATGGGTTTTTCTAAGTGCTTTTGGGGGGCATGGAGCTCCCCCCTATCGATCTCCCATGGAGGAGGTATAGGCGGCGTGTGGTGGGGAGCAGGCGCCAGTGCCGCAAGACCCGCCGCTGCGGAGTGCCGACTGGGAGGTACTGGGTGCGGAGTAGCAAGTAGTGAGTGTTGGGTGTATGGATTTATGGCAATGGGGGAACTGAATGGCGCCCGCCACGGAAAGAGGAGAATGTTCCTTTGCTGTTCCTTTTCATTTTAGTGGTATGAGTGATTTTATATAGCTATGCTCGACTTAAAAAACTTTAAGAGCGTTTTTTGTTGCTCTCCTCTTTTCTCACGCAGTTTTCGTCTTCTAGCTCTAACCACTCCCGCCCCGCCCCGCCCCGCCCCGGCCCCTTTGTGCGCCACTCCGGCCCCCGGGGCCCCCTCCGGGTCATCGGCTCCCAGATTACTCGGGGATGCGTTCTGGAGGGGGAGGGAATGGGGGCTGCCTCCCAGTGCTGCTGTTGCAGAGCTTTGCTGCAGTGACTGCGAAATGAGGTTGGTGCGGGAAAGAGGGGAAAATGATGGTAATGGTTGTGGTAGAGGTGGTGGTGGTGAAGTAAATACTATTGCTGCTGCTGATGATGATGATGATAATGTTGCTGCTGATGTTGCTGCTGATGTTGCTGCTGATGATGATGATGTTGCTGCTGATGTTGCTGCTGCTGCTGATGATGATGATGATGACGATATTGCTGCTGCTGCTGCTGCTGCTGATGATGATGATGATCACCACCATCATCATTACCACCAGCACCACCACTAGCACAAACATCGTCATCATTATCACCCCCGCCAGCAGTCACTTCTGGAGGATCGTCCAATCGTCCAATCGTCCAATCTCAAGGCGCACAGAGGAAAGCCGCCAGAGCCGCTTGGGACATGGTACGCGAGGTTCTCGCAAGGCTCCCTACTTACCCGCATGTCTGTAACCTCATCCATAATGCAAATAATGTAAAAGGCATATCTTTTTCGGATGTCGAAAAGGCCTCAGAGCGCTTCACGACGTACGCGCAACGAACACGTCCTGGGTCGTGTCTACGTCGATAGGTCGGTCGACTTGACGAACAGCGATGTTATGCAGCTTATTAATCAGCGGCTCTGAACAGCGGCCTTTTAAGCATTTGAGCTATGGGGTAAATGGGACTCAGATCGTGGTCGGGGAGTTAGGAGTCGATGAAACTACTTACTTTCCGTTTCCTGCGAATGTTGCGATTAGTGGCGCACAGGACGCATTGCTGGCCCGCAAAATGATGATGAAGCATATGATGTGCCTTCAGGTGTGTACAAATGCAGGCAGATTTAAGCAGCTGTGTAAAGGGCGCCGTTATTACAAATTGTCATCGCAGGCAGGCAGGTAGGCACGTCAGAAAAACTTTTCATCACCTATGCCTGACGCAGGCAGGCGACGTCGGGACGGCAGCGGAGCAGGGGAGAGAGAACTTAGCAAAATCTCTATTTGTAACAACATTATCATAAGCCATGTTTCGAAAAAAATATCATAGGATATTGCCTCTGCTGAATAGAACAAAGATTTATATTTTTTTATCTAATTCTCTCCTTTAATGCTTTGCACAAAAGCCCTCTAGTGCCTGTTGCGAATGTTCATGCAGTCAGGAGCTCGCACCTTGCACCGCCCACACATACCTGACAGGAACTCTGATGCTAAGTGAGTACTGCAATGCAAAGAAGAACGAAAGCCATACTTGACCAAGTTTCGCCATCCTCTTCGCCGGAACCATTCATGATGCTGCAAAATTATATGCTTACGGACTGCAGCTACTATCGAAAAGTGTGGAGCCTTTAACAATGAAAATGGCCAGCGGGCGGCGACGGGCTGAAGAGAACTTCAGCCCGTCTCTTCTAGGCTCCACTACCTGAAGTTCTCTTCTAGGCTCAACTACCGCGCCTGCGTTAAATCGCCTTACATTTGTTAGTTGTCTCCGTTCTTTCATATAGACTGCGCATTGTGATGGGTGTACTGCTTACTGACGTCCTACAGTGTGTCAGGCATGCCATAGGCAAGACTGTTCAGGCCATTTGTACCGGCAGCTCTAGTTTTCGTAAGATGACGCGATGGCCCGAGAAACGCATAGTCGAAGGCTTACACAGACGGCTCGCGCCTGACGGCTAATGATTTAACCAAAGTACATGCTGGGTGCAACACAAAGCTAACCTTTGTACATACACTTACAGGTTCGAGCGATTGTAAATAAAAGCTGTTCTTTGTCACCTGAACTACTGTAGTTGCCCTCTTTTCGCAGCCTTTCCCTGCAGTGTACGGCAAAACGCAGCTACCTTGCGATGGATCAGACGTACCTCTGCGGAGGCATCGATTCGTAATATGCGGCCCTACTCAAGAATAGAAATGTTACAATATACATCTTAATCTTATTTGCAGTGAGGTAACGGTGCACGAAATTGCAAGGGTTGAGCAGCCCGACGCGACTTCCCGGGCGCCATAGAAGAAGCCATGGAGATTTACGAATCATTGTTTTTATAGAAAACACACTGCTCTCTATATTAATTTCTACCTAGCTTGTGAAGGCTCGAGCTAGTGCTATTGGCCGAGCACTGCTGCGCAGACCGCTGTGTAGGGCGGGCGCTCATTGCATCAGGCTACCTTTTCAAATAATCCCACAAGAAGGCCAGCTGTTCCCAGCAGTTCCAGCCTCCAATCCCAGCCGCCCCAAGTCCTTTCCTAGTATGGCGACATCTCGCAGCACATGGGCAAGCTCGGCGCCTGCTCTGGCCCTTGCCGTGGTGCTGGCAATGTTACCAGCAGCAGCACCTCATGTAAGTCCTCTCACCGGTCCTTGCGTCAAAACCTGCCTATGGCCTACCGCCTCGAATAGCTATTTTTTAGGCGGACCCGCCATGCGCGCTTCCCGTTCGGCCGCTTCGTAAATTGTTCGAATCCCGCCAACCGCTGTCGAATTTTGTCCGCAATCCGTGCTCACGGACTCCAAAGCAACAATGTTACAACAGCCACAACAAAAGCAAATGGATTGCGGCCCAAAGAGTCTAGAACTCATGGGCCGTTGTAGGGTGCCCACCCTCCAGAAGGGTACATGGTGGGTGCGAAAGCCTGGGCAGGGTCTGGAGGGCCGGACGGACAGGATGGTCAAAAAGCAAAAGCGGGTGGGCGGTGGCGCACCGAGGATGAGAAAGGGACGGACGAGGAGAGGGGCGGAAGGGCGAGGAGGGGTTAAGAGCCCCACAACCTGATGTGGGAAATGGAGGCGAAGGGAAAAGTGGTGATTAATATCTGCTCCCTGTTTCTCCTCTTCCTCACGCAGCCCGAAGAGATTAGTTATCGTGAGCTCGATGTAGGGTGCAGGCTTGGCGAATGGATGTGGACACGGTGAAAGCATTAGCGAACGTAAGGGGAAAAGCAACCAGGGGTGAGCAGCCAGGCACTTTCACGGTTATTTAGCCAACGAACGGCAGCGACCCCTGCAGCGGCCCCGTCGCTACCATGGATGATGGTGATGGTGGTGATGGTGGTGATAGTGGTGATGGTGATGGTGACCGTCTACTAGCCGCTAGAGTTCTTTTTCCCTCAACAGCGTAAAACACCCAGCCTCGCCGCCAGGGAGACGGCTTCCTGGCCGGGTGTGTTTCGACACCGGACAGGCCGGCGGTCACGGCTTTGGTGACGGCTCCCCATCACAACCGCTCCACGCGGTCATTAATGCTCCTTGGGAACCACAAAGGGCGCCTGGGCTTCCACTTGCCCGTTCGGCTCCTCGTGGGTCGGTCGTTTGTCGGTTCGTATGTCTGTCTGACGGTCCGTTTAGGCAATATGCCGTTGCGGCCAGGACTTTGCCGAAGTGGCAGCCACGGACATACGCACAAGGTTTCTAAACACAGACAAGAACGGCCTACACACACCACTCGCTGTTCGCCCTTCACCTTTCACATTCCTTGGCGGGTTGCAGTGCGGGGAAAAACATGCACTGCCGGAGCACCTGCTGCCACACCACCAGCACTCACCAGCGCTCTCACCGGCTATTAGGTGGATTCCTCCGCCTCCTTAGAACCGCATTCTACCCCATTCTACCCGGCAAGTTGGCAAACAACCTTATCGAAACACAGCGGACCTCCCGCCCCAACGCCCCTAACCCCAAACCCCAATCCCCGCACACAAACACACAAACACACACAAACACACACACTTACCGGGGGACACAGCGCCCACACGGCCCAGTGTACTCTATGTACCGCACTGCTCTGCGCCGATTTGGGCCCATTTCGATTTGGGCGCCTGCCATGCCATTTTGCCTTGATGCGGTGACCTCATGACACCATAGATTTGTCGCATGTTTAACTCCACCACTCGCCGTGATTCTCCCCTGGACTGTCGTACTTGTTGTAGCTGGATCACTATGACCCACCGGGTGGATTCGGGGGAGGTGAATCACCACCGGATTACTCCGGCCGCTCGACGCCTCCCTCCTTTTTCGATGCGCCTCCCCCCGAGTACGAGCCAAGAGGTACGGCTGTACGGCACATTTGTACGGCACAATGCACATCCCGCACCAGCGGCTGGGCCAACATGAGCACACCAGACTAGACAGTTGTCGGTTGGCAGCTTGCAGGTAATGTATATGTCAGCAGCGGTTGGCAGTGGCTGGCTGCTCTACCATACGTTTGTTTTTCCCCGCGCCAATGAACCCAATGAACCCCACGTGTGAACCACTGAGACGCCGACCCATGGGGCTCAGGAACCCATTGCTGCTTAAGCAAGCTCCTCACCGCAACAAACGGTGCGCCCTGCACCCCTCCGCATCCTCCCCTCAAGCGCGCAAGGTTTCTGGAACCTTTGAGGCGGGCTGCCGCCCACCTGGCCGCAGCTACAACATACATACGCGGGGGTCCAATGCTTTCAGTAAAACAAACCCTCGTGTTAATGTGGAGTACTTTAGTTGCCATAAAATGGGTTACGGCCGCAGCCCCGGCGCCCTCCAGGCTAACCCACTCCACCGCCCAAAACCCTAAAACCCGCCAACGCATAGCGCTGGGAGCATGTGCTCCCCTCCCATGCCCTTGCACCTACCATACGAAGAAAGGCGGCCCCCCAGCATCCCTGCCTGCCCCACGAAGCTCCCTGTTTGCCTGTCTGTCTATCCTGCTGCAGCTGCGCCCCCCCCGCCGGTTTTCCTTGACATTCGGTTGGTGGACTCCAGGGGCGTGCCGGCCAGTGGGCTGCAGCAGGGCATTGTGCAGGTAGGCGTATGCGTGTGCCTTTTATTGTCATGTTTTGGATATTTGCTTTTGTATTGTCTCTTTCTTATAGAGACAATCTAACGTATATATTACACACACATATTAATGTTGTTGTTGTTATTATTATTATTATTATTATTATTATATAATATAATATAATAATATATTATTATATTATTATTATTATTATTATTATACCCACTGTTGATCAAGAACATGAAATATAAGGTCCAAGAATGAATAAGGGTTTAGCTGTATGTCTATATGTGGGATTGTGGTATCTTGGTTGTCGTCGAGTGGGTCTGGAAAGCTGAGTTCTCCAAACCGTCCCCCGGCGTCTAAGTGTACAGCGACATTCCCGTACAAGCCGCACCGGTACGGCCCTCGACGATCTGAGCTGCATGGTGCTGCAGTACGTATGCGTACGAACTCTTTCTGGCATTTGACCCAAAGGTCCAAATCCTATAATTGGATTTTGGTCTTTGTGGCCTTTTGTATCTTTAGCATATACTATGTCCCTCTGCTTCTCGTGCGCCTTTGTCCCTTTCCTGTCGTAGCTATACAGTGAGCAGCTGTCGGATTGGGGCGCCATCTGCATCAACCCCCGAGCGGCGCTCGATAACAAAGAAAACTACAGAAACTTGGCGAAGCTGGTCTGCCGTCAGGTGCGGTGTACGGCAGTACGGCATCGTGTCCTGCTGTAACAACGGAACGGAGGAGCGCCCAGGACGGTGGCTCAGGAACAGCATTAACGGAGGAGGTTTCCCGTCCCGGCGTTAGGACCCCTCCCGGGTGTCGTTTGGCGCATTAGGGTTCCCGCTATCGCAACCCCCCCTTGCCGCAAGGTCAAGGTCAAAGTCAAGGTCAAGGTCAATGTCCAGATCTTCTCTAACCCCCGGGTAACCCGCCGTCCCCCCGGGCCCAGCCCCGGGATCATCCAAACCCGGGCACACAACAGCTTCTTCTGTCACTCACATGCCTGTACGCCCTTCCCACCCTTCACCAATCCCGCTTCGTCTCTGTCGCCCTCCCCTCCTCACCCATCCCAATACTCTCACTCCGGCCCCCCGCAGCTCGGCCTGCCCCAGCGGTACGGCACCATGGTCCCCGCCTCCGCAATGATCCAAGGGTCTGTGCCCGTCATGCCTTTTGTGGCGATAACCACCATTAGCGTGAGCCCCTGTGATAACGCCGCGACGGCGCAAACTGTTACGGACTGTGAGGGGTTGTTGCTGCAACCCTCCTCCATGTCCTGCGGTAGTGTGGGCGCCGGCAGCGCTGAACCAGCAGCTGTGATATGTTCAGGTAAGTGGGAGGAGGAAAAGGTGTTGGGGGACTGCTGGGGTGCTGGGGAGCGTGGTGGAAGGATGGTGGAATGACATGGTGGTGGTGGCTGCAGTGGTGGCGGCGCTGGTGGTGGTGGTGGCGGAGGCTACAGGAAGGGAGGTCGTGGAGTGAGGAAAGCAATACTTGGATATGTACGGTCGGTATGATGAGCCCCATTAGGCTCTAGAGGATTTGGATGTTACATAGTATGGCGTTGGTGTGAGTGAGTGAGTCCGAAGGGAGCGCAAAACCGCGATGGGACCATGCAACGGATGTCGAGAGCCGCAGCCCTGACATAGGTTTGCGAGCTGATTAGCTAACCGGCAACAGAGATAAAGAGAAAAGAAGAGACCGAAGAAGAAGTTCACTAAACGAAGGGATCTATCCGTAAGGCAGATTGTTGCGTGCCAATCAGATACGAGGGAATATGAGCGCTAAGCTCCTCGCCCAGCCTCCACCTACTCCTTTTCCTCCTACTCTACATAACCAACAGAACTTTCCTTTACTTTCCTCCCTCCCTCCCTCCCTCCCTCCCTCCCTCCCTCCCTCCCTCCCTCCCTCCCTCCCTCCAGGTATGCTGCCGCCCCCGCCTTCCCCTCCGCCTCCGAACCCCTCCTGGGTGGCCCCGCTCAAGCTCACCACACGCCTGCTGGACCCCGTCACGGGATTCACCTATCCGGAGCTGTCCCAGGGCCGGCTGCAGGTGCTGCTCCCGGGGGCTGACCCGGAGGACGACAACAGCTGGGGCACCGTGTGCGGCGCTGACACCCAGCTGTCCTTGGCCCTGGCCCAGGTTCGCATGCGTCTTGTAGTTTGTGAATTTCTTGAGCAGCGGCGGCAGCTTTAAGCGTTAGCGATGCCGGATTGTGCCGCACAATCCAACTTTGTCCTTTGCCGAAAGGAGAAGGGGGGTTTTCGATTGTGTGTCATGGGCTCAAGAAGGCAAGTCGTACATGTCGTACATGTCCCGCGCGATACCTAGATGATGCCCTTGTCCAGTCACACTCAGTTGCACCCCTGTTTCCCAATTGCCAACAAACTTCTGACAGTACGCTTGCCTGCAAGTTGGAACGTCGGGCTGGCAGGGCGCCTATTTTTACACGCCATATGAGCAGCAGCCCCTACCTGGAGAGGTGCCCGTGGCGCTGGTTACGGCTCGGGACTGTACTGTGGAGCAGGACGCGGTTTCGGGGCGCATGCTGAGTTGCAGCATATTAGTAGGGCAGGAGTTTAATTCCCAGGTAAGGCAGGTGGGAGGGTTGAGATAGGGAGTGAGATGGACATCTCAGATATGATAGCTAGCTTCACGATCGCAAATGATGGGGGCGCACGGTGGGCGCATCGGAGAGTGCGGCAGGAGGGTGCATACCGCTGGAGGGGGCTGCCTTACTCAACCACCCACCCACCCAACCAACCAACCAACCTCCCCACCCAC